CATCATATGCATGTGAAAGCTTTACAATGAATAAGGAAGACCAAAGAAGAATTGATGCCTTTGAATTATGGTGTTGGTGAAGAATAATAAATTATACCATGGACTTCCAGAAGAATGAACAAATCTGTCTTGGATGAAGTACAGCCAGAATGCTCCTTAGAAGCAAGGATTGTGAGACTTCGTCTCACATACTTTGGACATATTATCAGGAGGGACTGATTAGTTCCTGGAGAAGGACATCATGCTTAGTAAAGTAGAGGGTCAGTGAAAAAGAGGAAGACTCTCAACGAGATGGACACAACACAGTGGCTGCAACAATGATCTCAAACGTAGCAACGATTGTGAAGATGGCACAGGACCAGGCAGTGTTTTGTTCTATGGTACATAGGGTTGCTGTGAGTTGGAACCAACTCAGCAACACCTAAGAACCACAACAACAACAACATACACAGTCAGAGATGCACCATTTCAACAATTTTTACATGTACAATCCAGTGACTTTGGTTAAATTCTTCAAGTTGTGTTACCATTCTCATTATTCTTTTCCACATTATTCTAATGCTATTAATGGCACTTTTTAGGGTTTTTGTTTTTTTATTCTAAATGTGATAAATGAGCTTACAGTTATGGAATAAGAGCAAATGGTTTTGAAAAAGAACTGAGTAGAAATTAAAATATAATTACTTGCATTTTAAAACTCAGCAGATAGGTCAACGTACAATCTGAACATGCTGAAGAAAAATTTAATAAAGAAATCTCTCAATATTCCAAAGAGATAGATAAATGGAAAATACGAAAGAAAAAGTTATAGATATGGAGGTTGGACCTAGAAGTTCCTACACTGGGCCAATTGGAATTCTGGAAGGAGGGAATAGAGTGATGGAGAAGCAATATTGAATGAGAATTATTGAGAATATTTCTGATGTGAAGAAAGATAAGAAATCTTAGACTGAAAATACTGCTGAATATTAAGCAGAATTTTTTTTTTTAAATCCACAACTGGACATTTTCTGATGGAATTTTAGAATACAGACTATAATGAGAGAATTTGGCTTCCTTTCCAGCCTCTTCCAACTCATGCTGTCTGCCTCAGCAATGCCCATGCCACCATCACAGGTTCCTGAAAATACCACACTCACTGTGACCTCCATGCCTTTGAAATGCTTCCTAGCTTGAATGTTCCTCTGATACAAGAGGAACTTTGATAGCAGGATCTTTCCTCAAGAAAGCCTTTCCAGAATGCCCCCAACTTTCTTATTCTCCAGTCCCCCTAAATGTTTGTGTGGTAGGTCTCTTTCTACCAGCACTGCTCCTGTTACCTGTGGTTCTTCCTTTGATTCTGGCTCCCATTGCTCTGGGAACTTCTCGGAGTCAGTTATAAGATCCTTCCATTTTGTTTCTTCAGAGCTCAGTATGGTTCCTGGAGCATGGCAGTCACTCCTGCTCATTCGCTTCTGAGATGATTTTTTGAATTCATAAAACTGTAACTAAATTCATTAGTTAGATAATAACTCAATGTGTCAACAAATTATTGAGTTCTGGACAGGTCAGCTGTGAGTTTCTTAAGGTGGCTCAGCTAATTATTGACAGTTAAGTGTCCTGGCTTGAACTGAGTACTTTTTTAAATTGTTTGTTTATTGTGGTAAAATATACACAACATAAAATTTTTTGTTTTAGCTATTTTCAAGAATACAATTCAGTGGCAATAATCACACTCACAGTGTTGTGCCACCATTACCACTATTTGTTTCCAAAACTTTTTCATCACCCAAACTCTGTACCCATTAATAACTTCCTGTCTTCCAATGCCTGCCTAGCCTCTGATAACTACTATTCTGTGTTCTGCCTCTATACATTTGTCTATTCGAGATATTTCATGTAAATAAGATCATAGAATATTTGTACTTTCGTGACTAACTTATTTCACTCAGCATAATGTTTTCAAGGTTCTTCCATGTAATAGCGTATATCAGAGAGCTGCATTTCTCTTTATGGCTGAATAATATTCTGTTTTATGGATAGATCACATTTTGTCATCTGTTGATGGACGTGGATTGTTTTCACCTTTTGGCTATTATGAATAATGCTGCAATGGACATTGGTGTACAAATATGTTTGAGTCCTTGCTTTCAAATTTTTTGTGTATATACCTAAGAGTGAGATTGCTGGATCATATATAATTCTGTGTTTAACTTTTTGAGAAACTGCTAAACTGTTTTCCACAGCAGCTGCACTGTTTTGCAATCCCAGCAGCAATGCATGAGGGTTCCATTTTCTCTACATCCTCACCAACACTGGTTATTTTCCATTTTTCTGATAATAGTCATCTTAGTGGGTATAAAATTGTATCTCATTGTGATTTTGATTTGTATTTCTGTAATGACTAATAATGTTGAGCCTCTTTTTATGTGCTTTTTGGCCATTTGTGTATCTTCTTTGGCCAAATGTCTATTCAAATCCTTAGCCTGTTTTGTAATTGAATTATTTGTCCTTTTGTTGTTGACTCATAGAAGTCTCTTATACATTTGAACTGGGTACTTTTTATAGTATATGTCACAATGCTTCCACCACAAATTGTCCCTGAATAAAAGCCTTATGATAAGTTTAAGTGCCTTTATAAACCAGAAAAGTGACAATTTAAAAAAAAAAAAAAATTTTTGACAAATAGATAATCATTTATAAAAGCACAGTTTCTGGAAAGGCCTTAAGTTGCCTTTCCGTCCCTAGCCCACATTTTGTTTAAAGGGAAGTCTTGCATTCTTTCCCCATTAGAAATATGGATAACTCAAAATGTGGAGCTAGAATCTTCCCTTGCATAATGAAATTTAGTCAAATTTAAGCTTTAATATGATTATTATGATCACATACTTAAGAAGGGTGTCTTGAAAGTTTTTGTATGTCTTAATTACTAGATCACAGTGTAACTTTACTAGATTCAGGCCAAGTAATCTTAAGAATATTATTTATGGTCTGTTTTCTTACTGAAACCTATCATATTCTAAGTTGAGTGTCTTTTTCCAAGGCTGCTTCAATTTCAGATCCGAAATTGAGGGAAGACCTTGATGTTCTTGTCTAGGAATTGGAATAGCTTCACATAGAAGCCTGTCTGAAAATCAGGCCACCTTCAGTTGCTTCGTTTCAGAATTTTCAGAAGACTTTTACACCACTAATCCTAATCCTACTTGAGGAGCCCTGGTGGTGTGTAGTTAAGAGATTGGATGCTAACCGAAAGGTCAGCAGTTCAAATCCACCAGCTGCTCCTTGGAAACCCTATGCGGCGATTCTACTCTGTCTTATGGGGTCGCTAGGAGTCAGAATTGGCTCAACATCATTGAGTTTCATTTGGGTTTTTAATCCTACTTGATATTCAAAAAACCAGTCAATATACAAAGTACCACGTGACTTTTCTGGCGCCTCAGTAATTTACAACATCCAAAGAGTCAAAAAGGAAAAAGAGCAAAATAGACATAAACTCTACGTACTAGACTCCCAGAGGAAGCTTCGGGGATTTCACTCAGAGATTACTTATTCTTATTTTATTAGATAATTCTAATAAATGTTCATGCTGTTTTCCCAAGCTGCCACAGATTTAGAAACAGAAAATTACAAGAGCAAGGGTACTGTTGAGGACAAGCAGTGATACCACAAGAAGTGAAAGCTACTGGTTCCACAGCCAGGAACTGAAAAGAGAAACAGACAAAACAGACATAGAAATGCATAAACACTACACGATCTGAAGCCACATGATGCCGAATGCACACAGCTCTACCCATCCTAATTAGCAATGAGGATACCCACGCATAAGAGTACAACACAAAATTGATGTCATGAAGACCCTGAGCCATCAAGAGAAGTGCGACTACATTCAGCATTTTCTGTTAAGGAGGGCTGGGAAGTAAATAAGTATTCTGCATAGACAGTGCACATTACAAATGGTTAAATGAAGATAGTGTCTGGAGTTTCTGAGGTGAGCGTATTGATGTGGCAGGAGCCGGAGTGGTTTAATGGACTGGCCCTCACATGCTTTGTCTGATAGCTCAGACTCTCAGGGTCGGACAATCTGCCTGCTTCTTTGCAGTTCTTTGTCTTTCTAAAGCAGATAAATGGATGTTTGTGCCTCTAATGGACAAATCCTCTTCTGAGGATGATCTGAAACACTGGAAGCTTTGACTTCCAGAAATAGGATCAAAGCTGCCAGGTTTGAAAAGTCTCACCCACTGGTATCGTTAATGAAACATCTCCTTTTTGGGGGCAATATTAGTTTAGTACTTTCATAATTCCACTTCTAAGCAGAGTAATCAAAATGTGGCAGCATGGAACCTGGTAGTTTGCACACTGACGTGTGGGGAGTGACCCCGTCTGAACAAGAACTAATTCACAACCCAGAGGCAGCCAGAGGCAAATGAAACTTCTAGAGAGTAAACATCTAAGGAACCTTTTATTTGTCTTTGAACATAGCACCCAACATTCTGCCTGTGGTTAGTGGTATTTAATAAATCATTAATGAATGATGGGAGCTCTGGTGGCGCAGTGGTTAAGAGCTTGGCTGCTAACCAAAAGGTCTGCAGTTTGAATCCACCAGCCGATCCTTGGAAACCCTATGGGGCAGTTCTCTTCTGTCCTATAGGGTCACTATGGGTTGGAATTGACTTAACGGCAATGAGTTTGGTTTGGTTTTGGTTTAGTATCCCAGTAGTGAATTTACTATGCTTCAGGTTCATAAATCAGTCTCGAAACAATTATTTACCATCATACTTAGGAAATGTGATTATTTGTGGCAAGTGGAAGAGGAAATGATGCCATTTTTTTCTGAATGGTGATCTCCTAAGCATAGATTTGATAGTTTAATAACAAAGCTGTGACTGGCTATTGTTCACCATTTATATATAGAAATCATGTGTAATACCATGTATACTATTTCTGAGTGGCAATGACTGTTTTATGATTCTTTCCTCCTACCAAAAAAAAAAAGTTTAGCTATTTGCCTCATTCTTTTCCAGCGGAAGATAACAGTCTGTCTCAGAAGAAGAAGGTGACCGTGGAAGACCTATTCAGCGAAGATTTCAAAATTCACGACCCTGAGGCTAAATGGATAAGCGGTGAGTCCTGAGTCCTGCGTGCACATGAGAAAACGTACCCCCACTCCCTGCGGCTTTTCCTTACTCTGGGTTTACTCGTTGGTCTCTCTCAAATTCTCTCTTTGGCTATAGATTGCATCCAGAGAGCTTTTACTGTGATAACCATCTTATTCTCATTCTAAGAAAATGTAGCTCCGGTGAAATGGAGACGCTCCTGTTTTACCTGGTGTTGTTACGTCACAGACGTCAGCATGGCATCAACCCCATGAGACGTGGGCCAGCCAAGGATGCTTTCCACTCTGCCACCTCCCTGAACCATTACTTCTCAGATAGAGCTATGCATTGTTGCTAAGCAACAGGAGTATCTAGGGACACGGCCGAGCCTGCCTTTCTTCTCCACCTTTTTTAGCCTCGTTTCTGCTCTCCTTGCTTTCACTCTCACTAGGTAGAGGGGCCAAGGGTAGGTAAAAGGATTCCTATAGAATACTGCCAAGTGGATGAAACAGTGGAACCAGTGCACATATGCAGATAAAGTTATTTTCTCTTGAATAATCAGCATAAAATCTAGTTTTCTTATTTTGGTGGGATTTTTTTAAACAAAAAATAAAGTTGAGATACAACTATTGGTCTCTTCTCATCCCAAGCAAAGGAGAGTGAAGAAAACCAAAGACTCAAGGGAACAATTAGTCCAAAGGACCCATGGACCACATGAACCACAGCCTGCATGACCCCAAGACCAGAAGCACTAGATGGTGGCTGGCTACCACTACCAATCGCTTACCACTGCCTGCTGCTCTAACTGGGGTCACAACAGAGGGTTCTGGACAGAGTCAGAGTAAATTATAGAACAAAAAAATCAAATTCACAAAAAAAGAACAGACTTACTTGTCTGACAGAGTCTAGAGGAACCCCCAAGACGATGACCCTAAGACACCCTTCTGACCTGGAACTGAATCCGTTCCCAGCCAACAATAGACAAGCACAGAAGATAAACAGCAATACCTGAGAGGAACGTACTCCTTAGAACAATCAGTTATATGAGATCGAAAGGGCATTATCTGTCCAAAAGCAAAGATGAGAAGGCAGGAAAGTGCAGAAAATCAGGACAAAAGAAAATGGGGAAACCAGGGTGGAAATAGGAAGAGTGCTGACACATTGAGGGGAATGAAACCAAGGTCATCAAACACTGTATGTACAAACTATCGAAGGGGAAACTAATTTGCTCTGTAAACTTTCACCTAATGTACAATAAAAAAAAGAAATAAAGTTAAAAACAACTAACATTAAAAGTACTCTTTTAAGGAATGCAGAGTTTAAAAAAAAAGTAGAAGCCAGGGTTGTTTTTGTTGTTGGGTGTCGTTGAGACAGCCCGTGACTCATGGCAACCCCAAGCACAAGAGAAGAAACACTACCTGGTCCTACACCATCCCCACCATTGGGTGTGGATTGGACCATTGTGATTCATAGGGTTTTCACTGGCTGATTTTTTTAAGTAGCTTGCCAGGCCTTTCGTCCTAGTCCATCTTAGTCTACAAGCTCCACGAAACCTATTCAGCATCATAGCAACATGCAAGCCTCCACTGACAGATGGGTGGTGCCTGCACATGAGGTACATTGGGCGGGAATGGAACCCTGGTCTCCCCTGTGGAAGGTGACAATTCTACTACTGAACGACCAGTACACCCATGAAGCTGGGGTAAAAGGCAATATATTCATAATACGTTTTTTGGTTTTAGAGTCATCAAAGAATGGTCCAGAACATAACCAGTGTCCTCTAATTGGGTGTGGAATATTGTTTAGAGTACATTCGTGGAAGAAGAGATATAAATGAACGTTCTCACGTCCCTCTCTGGGCTGGGCTGCATCCCTCTTGATTTGTCTCACTGTAGCACTGTTCCTGTATCTCCAGCGATGCTGTGTGCATTTAGCTTCAGCCTGGTGGGATGCACTTGAGAATTAACCGTCAGCTCAGAGAACCTTCTCAGTGAAATGCTAAAGGTCTCGTTCAAATTCTTGCTTTTACAATAAACGAGGTCCCGAGAGGTTATGTGACTTTTCTGAGTTCATAGAGCTGATTGGTGGCAAAGCTGTGGCTAGAAGCCAGCCTCCCGACTCCCAGTTCAGTGGCCTTTCCACTGTACTGTTCTGTGGAGTGACACAAGGTCACTGTGGTTTTTTGCCATCAGGCTGCTTCTGAAATGCTTTTCATGCTTCACAAACTCTCCAAGATCAATTAGCAATGACCCTTTGCCTTGAGTCTCCTACTTGGGGCAACAGCTTCTCTTCTGTCCCCTGCTGTGGCTTCCCAGTTGATTTCTGACCTTTAGATTAGCTTATTTGAAACTGAAAGAAATAGATGGTCCTCAGAGGGTTGCACTAAATGAAAGAGGATCAGGGAGAAATAAGAAAGGATTTTGTGAATACGGATGGGGGACCCACAGAATTAAAAAAACGGATAAAGCAAAGGTCTTCTTTGTTTGACTGAGGAATTACTTTTACCTTTTGTTCTGTGACTGACTTAGGTTTGTGTTTACCTATTGGCCAGGCAGGTGTGAAGCTCCCACATCATGCTCTGGGCCAGGCCTGGGAGGGAGACCTTATTACCCTCCTAAAGGAGTCCCGGGTGGTGCAAACTGTTAACATGCTCAGCTCCTAACAGAAAGGTTGGAGGTTCACGTCCACCTAGAGGTACTGCAGAAGAAGGTTCTGGCAATCTACTTCTGAAAAGTCAGCCATTGAAAACCCTATCGAGGACAGTTCTACTCTGAGACACATGGGGTTGCCATGAGTCAGAGTCACCTTGAGGACAACTGGTTTTACTCTCCTTAAGGAGCTGAAAGCCATCTTCTGGAGACCAAACACTGAGCAGCCCATGGTAATTCTGCACACAAAATGCATAGACTAGGAATATGGCTTTGTCATTCTTCCTGAGGAAGTGTTTCAGAGAATGTATATAAACTTGGTCTTAAAGGGATCACTGGGCATCTGCTGATGAGAGAAAGCAGAGAATAGACTCCTGGAAAGGTTGAGATGTCTGTGCTAAACCAGATTGGAAGAGCCAAGAGTAAGTGGTTTTGGATTGAACTGTGTCCCCAAACATCTGTAGTCAAGTCCTGGCCCTTCTACCTGTGAATGCGATCCTGTTTGGAAATAGGGGGTTCTTTGTTATGTTAATGAGGTCATGTCCAAGCAGGGTGAATCCTAAACCTAATCACTTCTGAATTATAAAAAGAGGCAGAACAGACACAGGGACACAAACGGTAAAGACAGACGCCAAGGAAAGCCTAGGATCACCGGCAAACACCAGAAACAAGAGAGAGGCTCATGGAATGAATTCCTCATCTGGACTTTTAGCCTCCAGACCTGGGAGAAAATAAATTTCTGTTCTTTAAAGCTACCCACCTGTGGTATTTCTGTTACAGCAGCACTAGGTAACTAACATAAACTGAGAGAGAGTATCCAAGGGAAGAATATTAAAAAAAAAAAAAAAAAGAAGAAGAAGAAGCAGCTGGCAGAGAGGCAGAATCTGGGGAATAAAACAAGAGACCAGAAACAAGGGGCACCAAACCAGACCTATAAGGTTCAAAGCAGAGGGTCGGAGGAGGTCCTGGAAAGACCCCATGAGGTGTTAAACTAGAACTGCTATTAAAAAAAAAAAATACACTTTGCCTTCATGTTGATTCTAACTCATGGCGACCTCATGTGTGCAGAGTAGAACTGCACTCCATGGGGTTTTTATGGCTGTGACTTTTCAGAAGCAGATTGGCAGGGCTTTCTTTTGAGGCACCTCTGGGTGGATTCAAACCTCCAACCTTTCAGCTAGTAGTTGAGTACTTAACCATTTGTGCTACCCAAGGACTCCTGCATTGCTATAGGCACCTCTTTTTTATTAGCATGCCATGATTTCAGAAGCGGTCAGAATCAGTATTTTTATGCCAGAAAATGCATAACAGCGACAGGGAGGCGTGAGAGCCATGAGTTTCGACAGGACCCTGTGTTGGTTAATATCATAAGGAGTTTGTGTGTCGTGAGCAAATTCCTGTTGCAGGTGAGTGGGGGAGCCTAGGGCTGTGCTAGAACCTGGCCAGAGGAAATCAGCCAGAATTTCTTTCTGTCCATGAAACTGGGAGCTAATACAAGCAATCCAGCAGTGGCCCCATGCCCAGCAGAGAATGCCCCACCTGCCTGTTTGTGCAGGTGAAATCTATGCATAGAGGCCGCCTGCGGTTCTCAATAAAAGTGCCTTTGGTGTTCAGGAGCTTTCTTCAGAGGATTCTTCTTTGTAAGTTTACACACTGAGGGTGAGCTTTTCCTAAGAAGTAAGAGGTTGTCAGATCTCTCCAAAGACCAGGCACCCTTTGACGTGTATTGGAATATATATATTTTCCCCTCCACTACTTTTCACTGTCTTCCTACTTTGCTCTTACTTGCTCCTCTCCCTGATCATTCCCTTTCTTCTTGCTCCCTAGAGAAGAAATAACTGAAAGTGAATTAAATAACTTTGTAGTGATTAACTGAGCCTTTAGCATTGATTTTTTTTTAATACCTTGAAGACTTTATTCATTTTTTATGCTGCAAGTCTGAGTAATAAGATGTAGGGAACTATGCATATTCATAGGATTATACAATGTTGTAGAGCTGGGATGAGGTTTACAAACTTAGCATATTCATCATTGATTCAATAAATATCTATTGAGTACATACCATGCAGCAGGCAGATAGGTGGGACCACTGCCACTATTATATCATCATCATTACCACCACCACTACCATTTCCACCACCATTACCGCCATCATTACCACCATGTTGACCACGTCCACCACCGCCACCTACACTACCACCACCACCTTGACCACAACCTCGACCACCACCACCACCTCCACCACCACCACCACCACCGCAACCACCGCCACCTCCACCACCACCACCACCACCTCAACCACCGCCACCACTGCTACCACCACCAACACCCACCACCACCACCACCATGACCACCACCATCATCATCACCCCCTCCATC